TCGGATCAGATTCTTGCGCTTCAAGTTCGCCTGTCCGATGGCGAGAATCTTGCTAGATGGCGCGCTACCGACAGCGGACCACGTACTGCACTGAGTCGATCGGCTTTGCGCTAGACACTCACCCGCCTCCTAGCTTCTAGGGACGACGAATAGCTGCTCGCTCGACGCGCCTTGCTCACCCGTGCAAGTACAGAGTAGCCGCGAGAGCACTGTGGTTTACAAACCAACGACCCGTTCTTTCTCAGCCAAAAGCGCTCACCTTTGACTGCCAACATGCACGTTTGACTTGACACATCAGTCGTAATTGGAGCTTCCTCGGCGCGGAACCTCGGCGCGGGTTGCAGCGAACACCACCAACCGCCGTTCACTAGCTCTACTTGCTGGCGGCCAGACTTCAAACCGCGGCCACCTGCCTCATCACGACCAAACAAGCCGCCATCAACGACCGCTGCAGCCTCATTCCGGCCGCCAACGGCCCGTGGACGCTCGTGACCAAACTCGACGCCAACACGACCAACGTCCATGGCTGCTTGGACGTCGGCCCGGCCCTCGAACGCCACAAGCGGCTGCTCGCGACGACGCTCGTGCCGTTCACCAACAAGACGACGCTTGTGGCCGCGAACTCGCTCGGCTGCAGCTTTGGTGCCGTGTACCCGGCGCCCTCTAAGATCGCAATGTGGTTCGACAGTCATGCGTTTGCGACGCCCCAAGGTCCTCTTCCGAGCGGCGCCGAGTGCCCGAACGGCGCGTGGCTCGTCAAGCTCGAGAACGGCACGATTGTCCAGTCGACACGCTCTCAGTGGTGCCCGATGCGACGGTCGAGATGCACGGTATCTACAACGCCGTCCGCGTCGTGGCGTAGGCTCCTCGCCGTGCCCAACACAACCGTTGTGCTTTGTGCTGTTGCGTTGTAGGTAGCAGTCGATAGCCATCGCGTATGTGTAGATTGTGAAATACAACTTTCATATCGTTGGGCTGATACAGGATGTCTTGGGTTGGTGGGCATGGGACAGACACTGTATTCGAGACAGAATATTGAGAACAGCCGCTGCAATGTATACGAAACACCAGTGCAATGCAGTGTTTGTTGGCCGCACGTCTGCGAGCGTACCACGGATCGCTTGGTGGGAAAGGACCATGGATGTGCTGGCCACTTCTCTTCTGAATGAACCGTATGTGGTGTGAATTCGACTGCGCTTGGCTCTCCAAGAACCACGTGCCGCTGCAGCACTGGCGTCGAAGGTTCGATTCCAAAGCGGCTCCTTGAACCCCAGAGCGGACAAGGGACCTTCTCTCGGATGCTTTCGTGGTCCCCGCGCTCCTTTGGCTGCTCACGCAAACACACGGCGAATCGCAGCTGTTCAAGGATAGAAGCTGTGGCACTGCATGCGACCAGTCGGTTTATCGCGTCATCCGATGACGTGATGAGGATCGTGTGTTCCAGAGCTCAACGTGATCGCACCTTGCTCGTTGACATCACAGCTATCGCGGTGACCATAATCCGTCGGCTTGCGGCCTCTTTCTTCCCACTGACATTTCGGACGTCACTTTTCGAAGCTCCGACCAGCTTCAACTCTCCAAGCGATATGATATTCGCGATGACGCGTTTCTTCCTGGGTGTATTGGGTTGCTCCATACGCCAGTTGCAATCACAACTGCTGAATCAAACCACGGATGTCCAATAACGGATGTCAGTGCTACGAATGCACGTTATTGCGCGTGCAGCGGAGACGTTGGAGCAGGAACGAGTCGAGTACGATAACAGTCGTACCCGCATGTGTACAGCCAAGGCGAGGGGACAGTGCCGTACTCAGTTTTGCAACCCTACCCGCACTGATAGCTTCAAGTTGCGCCGGTGTGTCAAGTCAAACGTGCATGGTGCCAGTCAAAGGTGCTATCGGGAGCTCCCTTTTTGGCTGAGAAAGAACAGGCTGTCGCTCCGTATATCCAAGCTACTGGCATCTCACATGCGCCCAACCCGGTGGCTGTCGTTGCATTTAGGGACTATTCAGTGTCATGCCGCGA